TTATTTCTGTCCGTGTTGACATGTAGTGGATGTATGTGTTCATGTGTGTACATGTGTGTTTCCAGTGCCCCTGGAGGCCAGAGTTTGACATCCAGTGGCTTCTTTATCACTTTTCACTTTACATTTTTGTTTTATTTTATTTTGAGACAGGATTTCTCTGTTATGAAGCCCTGGCTGTCTTGGAACTCACTATATAGACCAGGAGGGCCTTGAATTCACAGAGATCCACCTCCTCTGTTTCCTGAGTGCTGGGGTTAAAGGCTTTGCCAACACCCCATCCTCCACCTTGTTTTTTGAGACAGGGTCTCTCCCTGAACCTGGAGCTCATTGATTAAGCGAGGCTGGCTGGCCAGTGACTGTGGATCTGCCTGTCTCTACTGCCCCGCCTCCTGCACTGGGGTTACCAATAGGCCCCTGTGCCTAGTTTAACATGAGTCGTCTGGATCTGAACTCAAGTCCTCATGCTCATGTGGCAACTACTTTATCAGCTGAGCCATGTCCTCAGTCCTGTGAATTGTGTTTTCAAATAATGAAAATGACATTTTTTGATCATAGAATTTGGCCCGTTAGCTCTGTATTTCATAAAACAGTAGGCTCGTGGCTCAGTAGGAAAGCTGGGTTTAAAAAAAAATATTGTTTGATCTTTTCCTTTCTTCTTTACATTTTTTTTGGATGTGTACATTGTGTGTGTGTGTGTGTGTGTGTGTGTGTGTGTGTGTGTGTGTGTGTGTGTGTGCGTTTATACTTTTCCTTCTTACTAAGAACTTTCTTAGAAGATGAAGTGGACCTGTAACTACTCCCCCTTAATTATAGGACCTGAACATTGATAGGAAAACAAATTACTATCTTGCGCCCCCTAGTGGACCTGTAATCCTACTTCAGAGTTTGAGACCACTGTCTTGAAGGTTTTACCTTTAGAAATGAAGGGTTTTTCTGGTTTGTTTTCCAAGGCTTCGAATAAAAAAAAGAAAAGGAAAGGAAAGGAAAACACTGCACTAGGGTGAAAGAGTTGTGACTAGGGAAAGTGGTTTTCTGCTGGGTCTCTACTTTTTTATGTTTGCTATGGAACTCACAATGGCCGTGAGATACGAGGAGCCCGTGGATCTGCTCTGCTGCCCATATAGGCCAAGTGTGGTCAGCCTGGCAGTCAGTGACCTCTGAATGAGGCAGGCCTCCCTTCCGGGAAAGATGGGATGGATGGAAGTTGAGGACGAGTCCCATCCACTTGGGAAGTGTCCGGCTGCCTTCTGAGTCCACTCCGGGGACTGCGCAGTATTCACAGTCCATGGCAAGCATTGGTGGTCCATAGCTGCTAAGGTGCAAGGAAAATGCTAGTGATAGTAGTTGAAATGACTGCGCTATCTCTTAAAATTCCCCCCTTCCCCCTGTTACCGTTTTTAACAATTTGATCCTTGTTGTGAGTGTGTTTACTGAATTCTGCACGTCCCAGCCTTATAGTGCCATGCTTGTACTGAGATGTGCTGGGTTTTAAAAAGAATATGGTAGTTTCTCTTTGTCTGCAGGGTATGTATTCCACAAATCCCCCGTGAGTGCCTAAAACAGCGGACGGTACCACACTCAGTGTGTATTATGCTTTTTAATCATGTGCATACACACCTTATGATAACCTTTGATCTATAGGTTAACAGTAACAATCAATAATCAAATAAAGCAGTTACACTGTAATAAAATTGCTGTCACCACTATTGTGCTTTGGGGGCATTGATAAGGGACACTTGAGCACAGCGACAATTGATCTGATAGCTGAGGTGATACCTGAGTGACTGATGGGCACTTTTGCAGGGAGTGGGAGGCGTCTGTAAGTGAATTAACCCGTGTCTCTATGCATGTGTGTCCAAGCACAGATATGTACCTGCATGGTGCATGTATGCGCGGTTGTGCGTGTGTGGATGTGTGTATTCCACAGCAGCAGAGGACAAAAGACTCAGCCCTTCCTGTGGAATCCAGGAGACCTGTGTCTGACCTGTGCAGCTCTGAGCAGAGCCCGGCCCAGGGCCGCTGGGAAGCTCGACACACCTCCGTGTGCTTAGAGACAGCTCTGGCGTCCTTCCCTGGCAGCTGCGGCAGGCAGGGAGCCTCCCTTTGGGAACATTCCACTCATGACTTGGGAGGCTTGCCTCCCTTGAGGAGCCTGAGCACTTAATGAATCCTACAGAGTCTCTGCCTGCGTTCCCTGCGCTCCTGAGTGAGAGGCCCCGCCCGCCCGCTTGCTCGCTCACCACGTTCCTGTGGGGTGACTGACCACTGGTGCCGGCATGCCTGGGCTGGGCCTGCACCTTAGAACCTGAGCTTGTCAGCTGTTGTTGTGAGACCTCTGTTGATTTATCACGACAATCTTGCCAGACTCTGCCTCTCCATGTTGCCTTATGGCTGTTGTCTGTCGAGTGGCTGTTGTTAGGCAGAAACTGAACCCAACAGTGTGATGGAGCCCGGAAGACAGAGCAGTGTGAAAAGATGAGTGTGGCCCACCGGAGACTTGGTTAGCAGAGAGGTATCGGGAAGGCTTCTGCAGAGCCACCAGCTAAGACTGGACCTGTAGAAAGCTTGTCTTTTTTTTCTAAACCATCTATTTTTGATGTTTAGTGGTTGACAATGTGAAAAACTCTCCCTGTACCTTGGCAGATAGCAGGGTTGAGAGATGAGTGGGTAGGAAAGAGGCATGCTTGTCCATTTGCTGACATGACCGGGGAGGGGTTATTCACGGACAGATTCATGGCAGGTGGAAACATTCACCTGCAATTTGATATGTGTTATATGGTGTGTTATCGCAAGGACTCTTGGCATATCTTACTGGTAATGTTTATATTGGTCGACCAAACTAACACTAATTGATATCGAAACCAACAGGAGAGCTGGGGTGATCCGAAGTGGGTAAAGCACGCCGTACGGTGTGAGGACCCGAGTTCGAATCCCCTTGTAAAACCTGGGCATGGTAGCATGCGTCTGTAACCCCGGAGGACTGGTGAGGTGGGAGGCCGGGACGAGGGCATCCCCAGGAGCGTGTGGGCTGCCGGGAGCAGCAGTGCACACCAAAGAGACTGTCTCAGTCGAGGTGGGAACGGAGGGCCAACACTCAGGGTTGTCTTCTGACCTCCATATGTGTGCCTACACTCATGCGCATGCACACATCTACACATACACAGATTAAAAAAAAAAGAATCCTGAATCTGTAAGAAAGCCTGGGCTACAGAACCCTCTGTCTCAAAAAAGCAAATCAAACAAACAAACAAAAATCCTATGGCAAAGATGAGGGGGGGCGGGGAGGAGAGAAGCGAGAGGAAGGTTCTTAGGGGAGAAATGAGGACTAAGACTTCCAAATGAAAGGAGAGATGGAGGTGGATGAAGCCAGGGGCATCCCTTGAGGTTAGCGTTCACTGCCAGCTTCAAAGAGTTAGATGGTGTCTTGTTAAGAATCCAGATTCACGGCCCCCTTCTCTAGATAAACTCAGCCAGAACCCTGAGGAAAGGGGCTCAGGGATCTTATTTAATAAGCATCTCAGGTGATTCTTATACTGAGTCAAACTTGGGACGCCGCTGTCACCCAGTTAGGACTACGACATTCCCAAAAGCTGTAAGTAAATGCCTGTCTGTAGCTTGCCAAGATTTGAAGGTTAGGGGGGAAAGAGGCTGACTATTCCATATTGACACCAAGAAACATTTTCTCCTTTGAAAACATTATTTATGTAGAATCGAATGACCTCAGAGAGCTTTCTCCTCTGAGGGGGGTGGCCAGTGGTGACTCTGCTCACGCCCAGATTCCGCGTGGGAAACGGTCTCCGCGTGCAGCTGGGAAATGGTGGAGCTGGCTGGGAAGCTCTGTCACCTTGTGGTGCAAGCCCAGCCTCAGCCCCTGAGGCACCATTTGCTCTCCTTTATCCCACACTGCACTGGTTTACCAGTTAGCGATGGTTTCTGGCTGGCAGGTTCGATGCATAGGTGTGCCCCTTCGCACACCTTCTCTTTAGGATGGAGTGCCCTTCCTCCTCCATCTGTAAACATACACCCAGTTGTTATGGGGTGCCTTCCTCCAAGCTCTTTGGCTACCCCGTCCTTACCCTCCTCATACTCACGGAGCTCACTGCCCCTGCAGCTGGGTCTTTATCACATTTTACAGCTCCTTCTGCTGTGTCAGAGATTCTCCTAGGTGCCCACCCCTTGTTCTCTAACTAGGTTTTGTTATATCTTGTTTGTGGATGTAACCGTCGTAAAACAGTCAGTACTTGCCAGCTAAAGCTATGAAAGCACCTGGGAACGACTGCATGGTGTTTTCAAAGGTTGGCCAAGTGTTTAGGTCGTAATCTTCCTCCATAAAGGCCCTGTCTTGGAGGTGAGGGCAATCTGGCTGCAGGATCTGTCTGCCATGCCGTTGATAGCCAGGGTTGATTCAGCTGATCTGGCTTGCTAGGTGTGTGTTTCCTTCCTTCCTGTTCCATATGCATCCCTCGCAAAGCTGTGCATTTGGTTGGATGAGGACGTAGGACCAGTCTTCTGTCGAGGGTCCAGGAGTAGCTGTGATCCCCTGCTAGAGCCTCCCAACAAGGTCTCAGGGGCCCTGTGTTCAGTGACTTTCAGAGTTATACTTCAACATTCGCATTGGGAGTGACAAGGTCTAGTCCATAACAGGGACTGACTATAGAAATCCTGCGTGTGGTCGTATCCTTGTCAGGGACTTTAAGGGTCTATCACAGATGCTTTGAATTATGGGAGATTTTCTTATTCTACTTTATTTTAGTTTATAGCCCCAAACAGTGACTATGTGATATGGCTTTCAGGTTGTATTGAAGTTATTTCTTTATGATGTAAACCTCTCCTCCAGTAGACTCCTCTGTGAATGTAGCCCGGGTCTTATTTATTTTTGCCTGCTCATTGAAAATTCTTCAATAAACTTAGAGGGAACAGATCTCCTTCTTGCTGTCTGCATGTGAATGCAAACCTATATATTAATAACAGTCCTAATTCTCGGTCTCTTATTTTTGCAGCCACCACTGGTCCAGGCCATCTTCAGTGGTGATCCAGAAGAGATTCGCATGCTCATCCACAAGACCGAAGATGTGAACGCACTGGTAAGAGATGCCATGGCTGAGCGGGTCCTCTTCTGGGGCAAGCAAGGGCTCGTTGACATTTTCTGTGCTGTGGACCTCTGTAGTACAGAGACACCTGCTGCTTTTTAGACTACTGTTTTAAAAACCCAACTCAGTGAAACTCTAGGGTTAGACTAAATCAAGCACATTGAAATAGAGTTGTAGAAATTTAAAGGACCAAGGACTGAAGAAGTCATCACTCTGTGGGACAGTACTTGCCTAGGACACACAAGGCCTGTATTGGACCCTCAGCACTATGCAAAAAAGAAAAAAACCAATCAAATGTAGGATGCAGTCATATGTATGCTTAAAATGACTTTATTCTAATCGACTCATAAATTAAAGCATCACACAGTAGTTTAAGGAACCATGTAAACACTTCCCCAGCTGTAAATCCTATACTTCTCCATGAACTTTTCTATAGTTAGAAGGACCATTCTGAAGCCTAGGGTATTATACTTTCCCCGTTGGTCACCCTCATTCACTTTTCCACCACAGAAAAAGCAAAAATTGTGACTGAGTTGAGGCCAGAAGGAAAAACCCTACTTTATAGCCTATCCGTCTACTTCTTAAGACACAGCAACAGATCTGACAGTGGACTCGATATACAGAGTGGCCCGCATCGCATTCTGAGTGACCTGCACCCCTCTCGTGTGTTAGGAGCATGCCTGTGATTTCTCCTGGTGACAGTGTCGGCCTGACCACGGCCACTCCTGGGGTGTGCCGCGTATATCCTCAAGGAAGGGGTTCCGGCCCCCATTAAGAAGGCAGTGAGAGTGAAGAAGAACATGACGTCAGTGTTCTTTTCTGATGCGACACACCTTGGCTCTCTAGTGGAGTGTGGCGACCTGTGCCTGTGGGCCCGCAGATATGAAAGCTTTTGACTTTTTTCAACGATTGAAAAGAGATGAGGAGAGTAACTTTTTGACATGAGTGATCGGTAAGAAGTTGAAACTCAAGTGTCCACAGACAGTTTTGTTGGAGCGTGGCCACCCATCTTACACACACTGTCTGTTCTGCTTTCACACTCACTGCACTGGCTGAGCCGAGGCACTGGGAGAGGCAGACCCACTCATGCCCTGGCCTTTAGAGGAAGAGTCTGCTGGTTCTTGTTCCAGGGAGCCCGTGACCCTGGGATGAACCACTGAACTCCGCAGCTCTCCACCCCCTCTGAAGTTGTCTACACCACGGGTGTGCTTGAACATCTTGCATTTTTTTCTGAGGAAAGGGTCAAGGCATTTCACTGAATTCCTAAAACGGCCTGTGGCACATCCATCAAAAGATTAACACCCATGCTTTATCTGCAAAGTTTCCGTAAAATCAGTCACCTGCCCTAGACAAAGGGGAAAAGCATTCCTGGGCGCTTTGGGTAGTTTCTTAGAGTTAGGCCCAACAAGCAATTAGGTGTAGGACACGGTGCTAATTCGCTTAACATAATCTGATTATCAAAGTACTCAGATCCCTTAGGGGAAGAGTCCTCTTTCAAGTTTAGTGTTCAGCAGAAAAGACTGAACAGAAGAGAGAGTCAAGTTTGTCTTCAGTGTAAGCAGAGCTTTGCCCCGGGGCAATAATCGTCTCTGAGGTGGTATCTCTATCAGGTCTGCTGGCGGCTCCCTTCCCAGGCAGGCCTTTTGGAGCAGCCTTTGTTCTGAGGCAGCAGGGACTGGTGTGGTGTGGCTCTCTGGAAGGCCTTTTGGCAGCTTCTCCCCAGCTGGCAGGGAAACAAGAGGACGGTGTTTTTGAGATGCATTTTTGCGAGGTAAACCGGGATGAAGTCAGGGACCGAGGGCTGGCAGAGGCAGCTGGGCGTTGGTCCAGGGCCCGTGGGGTGTGACCAGGAGGCTAGGAAGCAAGTTCACTGTCAGGAGCTTTGACATCACAGGAATTTGCCCGGACTATTTGGTGGCTGTGGGCCGAGCCTCGGCAAGCCTAAGGGGAGGTTACTACCTTTTCCTAGTGCTCACAGGCGAACAGAACTTCTCTTTAGCCGCACCTCAGGAAACCGTACTGACCTCTGAATGGCCTTTGTTTCTTTTGGAAAAGGAACAAGTGCTGCCGATCGGTACAAATTGCTTGAATTGTGCCCATCTACCTCACCGAGTTAGCTAGGCTCAGCTCTGGCCTGGCTTCGCTGTCCTTCCTTCTCATGTGTTCGGTTATCCTGAAGTCCTTGCAACACATTGAGAGAACCAGTCGGCCCCCATCGCTGATGTTGAGCTACTTTGTCGTGGCCTACGTTTTAGTTTTCCAAAGAGGACAGATTGCTGAGCCAGAGAAAGCAACTGGCTGGTCGAGTGTTCCCCAGGGCTCAGCTGGGAGGTGGATGTTCTGTTATGAAAGCTGAGAGAATGTAGATTGATTTGAGGAAGATGTCAGGACAATCACCCTGGATCCTTCTGTTGCCTCTGTCGTGAGTGGTGCATCAGAGCCTAGAAATGTGGGATAACTGTTGTATAGTCTAAGATACATATGTCAACTGGTCCAGATGTGACTGATCACTAGGAACGTTTAGCAACTTCCACTGGAATGACCACACTGAGCTTAAGGTAGAGAATAGCATCTCAATTTGTATCACAACATCCCAGACTTCAGAGACCCTGAAATCAGACTTGGAACTTAGTAAGGACATACTTCAGGGTCATGTCACAGCGCCCTGACGCCGTGAGGATGGTCTTACTGTGCCATACAGCGACCAGGACAGAGACAAATAGGGGCCTGTCCACGGCGAGTGGTGAGGATGGGGGAGGGAGTGAGGGAAATGTCGATGCTTTAGGACGGGAGCCCGCTGCACACAGCTCAAGTGACCACTGTCGCATTAAACTGGAGCAGACTTGTCATTATGGCAGGCGGTTGTAAGCTATAGAAAATAAGATTTCAGCCCCAAAGACAATAGTAGACAGGACTGTCTTCACAGTGAGCTGTCTTCACAGATGCGGTTCCTGAAGGGCCGTCAGGCAGAGCTCCCACAGGCGATAACTGCTAGAGGCCTCCCGAGTGCTGGGATTAAAGGCGTGCCCCCCCCCCTGTTTTGTGCCCCTGGCTAACAGTAATAATTCGTGGCACTGTCTCCCTCCCACTCCCCATTTTAGTGTTAGAGATCCCGTTACACTGTACATACATGTGCATTATAGCTCCTTCCCAGCCTGAAGTAGGTGTAGAGAGTCTTGTCTTCCAGTTGTGAAAGCCTGCGTTTCCAAGATTTGTGGCTCCTGAGTGATACCAAATGTGAGGTATTTATTTCTCGTTAAAAAGATCCACTGACAGAAACACGTGCATGCACACACAGATGCATATGTATGCACACATGCTCATTATTATATCAAATAAAATTAGCAAAGACTCTTCAATATCATCTAATACTCGGTACATACTAATTAGTAATCTCAAATAGTTGAGTTGTCCCCAACTTGTTTACTTTGATATATCTCTTTTATACAAAAATAAATTTGTTATCCACATAATAGTTATTATTTGCAATAAAGTTTGACCCAAGTATACTGATATACTTTACTTTACCTTCTCTGTTCCGTGATAGGAGGGGCCATATATGACTGTAACTGGGATACATCTTAAGTTAAAAGCAAAGACCTCACAATAGGCAAAAGGGAAGAAACCATTAGTGCTATAGTTTTTGACTCCAGGAAATAATTTAGGTGGTGGAGGATTGTTAATCTCCAGATGCAAATGAGAGAAAAAGAAACTGCCGTTTTACAAGCAGGGGCTTTCTAAAGAATAAGACAAGTGGGCAGTGTGAGCTTGTGATTGGTCTGGGCATGTCTGTGTGAATAAGTACAGATGGCATTTCAGTGCATAGCACTCGAGGCCCATAGTGACTTGCAGAGTGGCATTCTCCTTTGTCACACAAGGACTCTTCTCACGTGCATACCTATTGTCTGTGGAGGGCATAAGAGGGCATTGGCTCTGTAGTTCCAGATGGTTATGGGCCACCATGTAGGTTCTGGGAACTGCACCCGGGTCCTCTGTGAGAGCAGTTTGCTGCTCTTTTTCTCAAAGCCATCTCTCCAGCCCCAGATTAATGTCATGTGAAAGATGTCTGTATTAGTCAGGGTTCTCTAGAGGAACAGAACTGGGAGAATGACTGTATATGGGATTTATTAGATGGTTTACAGGTTGTGGTCCAGCTAGTCCAACAATGGCTGCCTACCAATGGAAAATCCAAGAATCCAGCAGTTGTTCAGTCCATGAGGCTGGATGTCGGAATCCCAAAGAAGAAGACTTTAATGCCCGTGAAGGAATGACCTTGTCAACAAGAGTGAGGGCTAGCAGGTGAAGAGCAAGCTTCCTTTTTCCATGTCTTTTTTGTAGGCTGCGGCCAGAGGGTATGGCCCAGAATAGAGGTGGATCTTCCACATTGAAAGATCTGCATCATGGTGGATCTTTCCACTTCAGATGATCTAATCAAGAAAATTCCCTCTCAGGTGTACCCAGCCAAATGGGTTTTAGTTAATTTCAGTTGCCGTCAAGTTGACAACCAAGAACAACCATCACAATGTCAAACATTATTCAGAGAGTAACTATGAACCCATCCCAAACATTAAACATTAACATTTTGTCAAATTTACTTGAAAAATAGTAAATTTTTATAGGTTTCAAAGGTTTCCCCCATATCAGCATACACTCATGCTCTGTATTGTTCCTGAAAAGAATACTTACTAGAGGATGGATTTCACGTAGGAAGCGCTTTGGATATTTGTAGATATAAATATAGGTATAATAGATGCTGAGGGAGATTTTGTCACCATTGTTTGGAATAATGACTCAGAAGGCCTTAGTTAAATGTGATACTGTCTAAAAAGACCACATCAGTGACTCTGTTTTGAATTTTGTAGAATTCCATTTGGGGCCTATGGTATGAACCTCTTGTTTCTAAAGATTGTCAGACTTCAGTCTTACACCAACTTAAAAATTGGTCTTTTTCATGTAAATTATTATGTTTGATGAGTGTTATCTCCTTATTAAAC